GGTTGTTTCCGCGCCCCAGCCGCGGAGTTTGGATGCCTCGAATGAGAAAGAATGGCAAATTTGACGGTTGCACTGCTCGATGTGTAATTGAGTCTTACTACTTATTTACTTGTTTGCTTCGACTTCACCGGTTCAGTGGTTTGTTTGGCTCCTTGTCCTTGAAGGTAAGAGCAGCTAGGTCCTGTGTCCCATTGCTGTCAATGCTCATCGAGGGGAAAATCACTTGGGTTCGTAGGGAAGTACGAACTGTTTCGCAAGTGATTTCCCCCTCGATGCTCATCTCCATCCGTTGAATCACTGCTGTGTTGGCTCAAATAGGGCTGACAGAAACACCTACGCTATGTTTTCCTGTGGTAATAACTAAACTCAAGCAGGTAGCAGTGAAGACTCTCACAACATGCACATGAAGCAACTGTGATCATTTTCATGTGAGAGGAGCTACTGTCAATGGAACTTGAATTGAAAAGCACTGTAAACATCTAAGAGCAGTGCGCAGTTCACCACTGTACAGGTGTGCCACCAAGTACAAAACAAATGTTTGAGAATGCTAGTCTAAATTTTATTCCTGGAGCCTCTGCAGTAAATTGAAAAACTCTGGCAACAGTGTGTTCTCTTTCTTTGAGGCACACGAGTAATCAGCAGCAAGGCCTACAAGACCTTAGTTATTTAAGGCCTGCCATTTAAATGTTAATGCGATCAGTGACAAAGTTCAGGTAAAATAGAAACTAGACTACTTTTACGACTGCTTCAATTTACGCAGAATCCAGGCCAAGGTGCTCGTCTGAAGAGTACGGAAGCAAAAAAGAAACTGGCAACCAGCAGGAAGGATGCTGACAGAACATAATAAAATTATTACCAGAGGGAAACATAGGGTAAGTGTTTCTGTCAGCCTCATTTGAGCCAGATGAGTGTTGACAGCTATGGGACACAGGACCTAGCTGCTCTTACCTTTGATGACAAGGACCTAAACGAACCACTGAACCGGTGTTCAGTTTTTCGAGGCAAACAAGTAAATAAGTAGTAAGACCCAATGACACATCATTATCGAGCAGTGCAACTGTCAAATTTGCATTTCTTTCTCATTCGAGGCATTCAAACTTCGCAGCTGGGGCGCGGAAACAACCGAGCAGCTCGTCGGGTACGGTATGAAAAATTTCTAGGCCCTCAGAA